GGAGGAAGTTGTTAATGGCCTCAATAGTTGACCAACAGTCTGTGAAGATGTTGATCCTCTTGTTATGGTAATTGCTATTGCCCCACTCGATTGCCATACAGATAGCTATCTGTATGGCAATTGACTGGGGCAATAGTGAGTTCTGCTTGATAAGCAAAACAGCTGGCGGCGAGGTAGCCAGAGTTACTATGAGTTTGACTCTGTCCTGGTATGCCACAAAGGTACTACCTACTTTGTCCTCGATTTATGAGCTATCAGTATAGATTGAGAGGTGACCATTCTCCAAAGGCTGGGTATGTATATAGGGCCTCTTGAAAGGTGGAAGAAGGTCCGGAGGGTGGTAATATGTCTCAAGAGAAGAGATAAAGATAGAAAGATGCTATCAGTTGCTAAGATGCTAAGGTTGTTCAGATAGATGCTATGTCCTTTTCGAAGGTGCCATGTATTAGATGCCAAAGAAATGGCAAGGTCGATAGGGAGTTTGCCAGAGATGACCTGTAAGGCAGCCGTGGAAGAGGTGGAGAAGGCACGGCAGATGCGCAGAAGGGCTTTGCGCTGTGCATTACAGAGCTTCCGTTTAATGTGCACTCGGCCTAAGCAGCCAACCCAAACAGGGACGGCATAGCAAATCATTGGCAAGAAAACACTGTCATAGATAATGAAAAGAATAGCTGGGAAAAGCCTCATTTAGATGTCACCACCCTGGAGACGGAGTTGAAAAGATGGTTGGTTTTATCAGTAGCATATTTGATGTTGTCTGTCCAGTTAAGTTTGTGGTCAATGATGACTCCAAGATACTTGATAGTGGTCATAATCTTGATTGAGATCCCTCCCATTTTTATGGTAGGAGGCCTACGGTACAGATGGGGTTTGCCTGGATTAGTAAAGATAATACCTTTAGTTTTATTTGCATTAAAATTAAGCTTATTCTTATGGCTCCACTCCGTGATGTTAAGAATAATATGCATAGTCTTGCACTTCAACTTGGAGCGAGAAGAGGCTGCAACAAGGATCATCGCATCATCTGCATACACAAAGTAATGCATGTAAATAAAGATAGCATCCAACCACTTCATGTGCTCAAGGTGAAAAGAAGAGATGATGAGCCTCGCTTGGTTGAAGGTTGCCTTAATGTCAGAATCGGCCGCATAAACCACAAGAGCCGTAGAGTTCCTCCCATGTAGAATGTATGCATTGTGTTCACTTATTCTGATTACCAATGATTGTTTGGTTGAACCAATGTAAACAAGGTTCCTGTCACAATTGTGGTCCTTAAGAGGTATAGAGTAAATGCCTGGGAGTCTGTTGGGATCAGGGGAATCCTTCCCATTACAGAGGATGTCCAAGATGGTAAGACATCTTCTGTATGTGATGTTAATGCGGCATTTGTTGGTGAGCTCCTTATATAAAGAAGCAATGTATGGATTATAGGTGATGGGTATCCGTGTCTCATCCTCTGGAGGATTGTCATCACGTGAGCAGATGGCAGACACACGTGCAGAGCAGTGGTAACGATTAATTAATTCATTGATTAGCTTATGGTGCCCGTGGATGGTCACTAAGTGTTTAATAGGAGCTAATTCGATGGCTAGTGTGGCTGGAGTGGATGAATGAGAAAATGCCCCCCTGAGCTGCATTCAACACATTAATGTTATTTGAAATTATTCATTAAAAAATTATTCAAAAATGATTCCTATCGCTAACAAGGGGAGGGCCAGACATTCGTGTCTCTGATTCAAACAAAACTAGGTGAGCATGTAACCTTAAATACAAGCAACTCCTTGTCCAAATAATAGAACCCACTTTACAAGAGTTTCCAAAAACTGAACCTCTAAAACTTTAGTATTTAGCCTATAAGACTTTGGAAGTTTCATGTTCCAGAGTGGCAATAGCTGAATAAATAAGACACTAGGTACTGTACTGGAGCTAGACAATGTAGGTTAGTACCTATTTAGTTTTAGTTTAGTTATCAACAACAACAACAACACCAGGATGTGTTACAAAAATCGTACTCCTAGAACCTATTTCTGGTGTGACGAAAAAACAAAAGAAAAAGTTCACCACAACTGTTTTTGAACTTCTGCAAGTTCTTCCTCAGGTGAAAAGGAATTTCTGATGGGACGGAGTGATCAATTAAAAGTATATGTGAAAAAATACACGAAAATGTAATACGAGTCGCACATGCGTGCCTGTAGGGTAACCAGATCTTAGCAATTACAGTTCAGAGTCCATCAATGTCTGCCAATGATGGACTCTGAACTGTATTTTTTCATACATACTCTTAATTGATCGCTCCGTCCCTTTTCACCTGAGGAAGAACTCGGAGATGTTCAAAAACATTTGTGGTGAACTTTTTCTTTTGTTTTTTTCGTTACACCAGAAATAGGTTCTAGAAGTGTGATTTTTAGTTTAGTTTTTATGTGTAACTTTATTATGTGCTGAAGGTTTTAACCTACATAGTCTCTTCCTCTAGTGCCTAGTATCTTACTCACTTGACTATCGCCACTCTGAGACGTGAAACTTCCAAAGACTTACAAGCTAAACACTAAGTTCTTAAAGGCTGAATTTTTGGAAACTCTTGTGAAGTCAGTTCTATTATTTGAACGAGAAGCTATTTGTGTTTAAGGCTACATGTTCATCAAGTTTCATTTGAATTGAAAACCCAAAAGTCTGGACATCACCTTTTAAGTGACAGCTTAACATGTTACTTTTGTATGAAACTATGAGCACTATCTAAAAGAAATTAAGCAACAATAAAATTATCATCAACATTTTGTAAAAAACAATGTGGTTTATAAATTTTCCTGTAGTTGTAACCACATTCACATTGGTGAAACCAAAAGAAAGTTCAATGCAAAATAATATAACCTTGAAAACTCCACTGTCACTAAACACTGTGTATTCCATAATTTCAATATTAATAAAGATTCATTAAAAATATTAAAAACCAAAAAGAAATACTACCAAACACAAATTATAAAAACATTTAGAAATTATCAAAATCCATGATGATATGAGAATAAACATGGGTACAACTAGATCCCATCAGCACCCTTACTTAAACATCTGATACCCATTAACCAGCAGGTAATACTTATAAAACCAACACTGGATACTACCTATAACAGCATCACTTCTGGAGTAGAGAACATTGTTTATACAAGCTGACTGTTTGCTAAAACATATGTAACCTTTCTTAAAACAACTCTTATTTTTTAACTGTTATCTTTCTTATTTTTTAATTGTTATCTTGTTTATAGCTTTGTATTATGTTCATTTACCATAGTATTTACTTCACAGTAAGTTTCATCAGCAACAATTATAATCTCTGGTTACTATTTGTACTGTAAACACATTATTTTTGGGATTTTTCACAGATGATGTAAAGTCATCTATGCATCAGCAACAAAATAATATGCTCCTTTTATATATGTATAAAAATGTAATTTAGTAATACTTTAATCCAAAACCCAAATGTTTGTAACAAAAAACCACTTGTATTTTTGTAGATGCCTGTATATCCACCAAATTGTAACAAATATGGCTGAAGAGAGACAGACAACTTGTCCAGAATGCATACCGTTGTCATAATAACTCTGTGTCTACTGATTCCTGTGTGATTACTCCAACTATGGCAAGACAGAATGATTACCCTCCAAGTTTATTAAGACACTGTCATGGCAATATCTACTTCCTAGGGACAGGCACCCCACCACAGGAGGGACAATGGATGGTGGTTACATACTGTATGGTCCTGTCCAAAATCCATAAGATAATTTCCAGAGTAGCCAATGTTATAATTGCATATAGATGGTCTCCAATATTTTTTTACTAATATATTAGGAACAATAAAAAAAAAAAAATACCAGAATGCATGTTAGAATGATACATTAAGGTGCATATTAACTTGTATGTTACTCAACAGGGATTTATGCAGTTCTCTTATGTAATGACAGAATAAACTGCACATTACTATATATATATGTGTGACAGTAAGTGGTCTCACAATGAGAATGAAGAACATGAACACACTATCACAAAGAAATTTTCCTCCACAGTCCTAGCAGACTATGCTGTGAGTGAAGACATCCAAGTTGTTATACAGGATGTATACTGTTATACATGGTTTCCAATACATCACACCCTAAATACTTGGAGGCTATTAAAATATACAAGGCACTTAGGAATGGAGTAGGGATTAATTTTAAAGAGACAGATATACTATCCACAGATTGCCAGGCTCACTTTGAACTGACACAGGGTTCTTTTTTCCGTTTTTCACTATGGGTATTTTCAACATACAAGTTAATATGCATCTTAATGTATCTCACTAACATGCAAGTATGTACTTCCTACAAGCAGAAGTTAATAATTTCAATTTGTATTTGAATTTCCAAGAATAGAACTTGTAACATAATATTTTACTCCACTGCACATGTACTAACTTCTTGCATTCAAATTTCATCTATTTGTTTGGTTCTGTATTTTATGTATTTATCTGAAGATGTCCATTATAAACAGATAAAAACATTAGTAAAGTTATTATTAAAAATTAATTTGTGCTGGTTTTGAATGTTTGACTTTGCTTATGTTAATTTTCTCTTTTAAAAAAGGGCTGTTAATAAAACTACAGTACTATCACTTGTACCTTTAAAAATGCAGTATGATTTTAATTTCCCAAACATTTTCAGTTGTTTTAAATGACCTTCCTCAGATTACAATTTAAAAATAAGAATAAAAGCTGTCCTCTAAAATCATACTGCATTTTTAAAAGTATAAATGGCAGTACTGTAGTTTATGACAAATGCAGTTTTGCTGAATAGTGACTGTTAATTAAATTTATAAAACTGTTTATAACAAGTATAAACTTATCTGTTGCTACCATTAACATAAAAAATTTTTTAAACTTAAAACTTTGCTCATTTCTTGAAATCAGTTTTTAAAATATCAATGTTGACATTCAAATACTTTTTAAAAAAGTAATCAAATTCTTTTCTTACATTTAAACGTGATACTTTAGGCGAAGATGATGATGGAGATTCTTCATCTGATGCTTCTCTATTAGCCATCTCAAAATCTGAAACTTCTTCAGATTTTATTTGTTCTACAACTTCACTAGATTCAGAACATTTTCGTGTTCGAGATCTTGATATTTTTTTAGAAGAACTAGAAGAGATAGGTTGTGAAGATTGTTGAGTTACATTAGATTTGCATTTATTTTGTATTAATTGTTGATGATGTCTTAATTCTTCTAATGCTTTATTAAGTGAATTTGTCCTTTTCAATGACATTTGTTGAAGAGTTGTTGTTATTGGTCTAATATTTTCTTTCTCTATATTTGCCCTAAAATATAAAAAACAAATTTCATGTATTTAAAATATAAATTTTAAATGTAATATTGTTTGTATTTGTTTTTAATTAGCAAATAAGATTGTATACATAAAATAAGTATTTATATTTTCAGGTAATTTTGGTTTCATTTTAACATCTAAATTTTGGTTGTTGTATAGATTTTTCTTGATGTTGTGCAGTTAAATTTGGCATGCTCTATTTTATAAAAATTTTTAAACTTTAAATTCTGTATATATTTTAATATGTTCTTTTTGCATTCTATTTGAGCAACTGAACATTTTTGATCCATTAAACTGGATCAAAAACGTTATTGGACATTAAATTATTGTTGGAGTTTTGTAACCTCTACATTCGTCACATTTTGATGACTTCCCCCATATTTGTCAGTATTTTCTGTATTTGTCATCATTCCAACACCAGCAATGGTGCTACAATTGCACACCCACACCAATCATCTAGCCATGTTAGCTTAGTGTAGCCAATTTAGCTAATTTGTTGCTAGATTTGATGGATTTATGAACAATCTAGCTGTGCAAACTACCTAAATTATAATTGGCCTAGCTCAGGGGTGGCCAACAGTTTTTGCCCCCGGGCCGAATTGGAAAGAAAACTTTTTCACGGGCCGAACCAGAGGCTGCCCTAGGAAGATTTTGAGGTGGTGCAAGATCTCGTTGTGGTGTCACCCCGTAGAGACTAAATTGTACATAGAGATACATTTTTTCACATTATCATGCTTTATCAACATTCTATGCTGTACTTAAGAGATTTGTAATGGAGGGTTAACTCTAACTGGACAGCAAGTTGTTGACCTTTTTTTTTTTGGCATTAGAATTTTTTACCGATCTATTCTGACTTGAGTAGCTAATATTGAAAGATTAATCGTGGGCCACATAAATCCATTACGCAGGCAGTATGTTGGCCATGCCTGGCCTAGCTATTTTTATAATGCTATCTAGATATAAAAAATCAAACAATTTTAATGAAAAGAACATGATTTGAATATTTTTATTAAAATGTCTAGCTATAAATTTGAATTTTGAGTTGGCAACACTGTCAGCTAGCTGTAGTCAATCAGTCTGCTTTGTGCAGTCGTCATGTGTGTTCTTGGTTTTTCACATTGATTATTTTCAAAAACTCAAATTCCAATTGCTCCAACAAAGCATACTGAAGAAAAGAAAAAAAAAAAAAAAAAATGTTAGAACAACAATAGAGATAAAAAAAAGTATTGCTAAGTCTGAATATAAGTCTGAAAGTAGAGAGGTTGCAGCCAAAGTTTTCATCTCTAAAATGTGGATGTCAAACATGGAGCACCACCATCTTGTAAGACTAGAAGTTTGACAATGGCATTTGGAACATCACTGAAATAATGCTTGACGTTCCAAACACTATTATCAAACTTCTAGGCTTACAAGATGATGGCGCTCAACATTCAACGTTCACATTTTAGAAATGAAAACTTTGGCCACAACCTCTCTGGTGTTTCCAACTTAGCCAAAGAATTTAATATGCTGAGATCATAATTGGAATTACCTAATGTTTTAATTGATGGTATGTCTTCTAAATAATAATAACCTTACTCTTCTTTCCATTCTACCACTATACTGTATTTATTTAGTACAATAAAGATAAAGTTTCACAAAAACAAAATTTTTATTTTTGCATTTCTTTTTTTTAGGATGGGAACAGATTACTTGAATATCAGTTATTTATTATAAAAAAAATTGTTTCTATATTCATCATTTTCCATATTCGTTAGATCCTTAAGAACAGATTAATGGTGAATATAGAAGTTCCACTGTATTTGCTTTATTTATAAGATAATTTCTTTATATATATGTTATGGACAAAGTGATTAATACGGGCATTATGAATAATGACCAACAAAATCGGGCATTGTAATAAATTTCAATAATTTATCAAATTGACCGGTCATTATGAATACTGCTACCACCTAGTCGGGCAAAGTGATAATAATACGTTGAGGAGTGATCATCCGGCATACGTTAGCCAATCAGAACTTACATCTTACTTGCTCACGCGTATTGCATTTAGTACCGAACTTTAAATTTATGTGACCAGTAGTTAATCTTTCTTCTTTGACAAAAGTAACGATCATGAAGGAATCATTAAGTGATATGAATAATCGCTTCAACAACCGATTAAACGAGTTAAAAACCAAAAGGGCTGAAGAAGTAGCATATGGTCTTTTAGATATTTTTACAATTTTCAGTGCACCAAGTATTCTACAAAGCGATAATGGCAGAGAATTCGCCAATAATATCATCAAACAAATGTGTAATATGCGGTCCGAGTTAAAAATGGTGCATGGAAAGCCCAGGCACTCACAAAGTCAGGGTTCAGTAGAAAGATGTAATCAAGACGTAGAAAATATGCTTAGTTCTTGGTTGGAGATTAACAATACTAACAAATGGTCGGAAGGATTATGTTTTGTACTACTGATTAAAAATTGAGCGCATCATACTGGTATAAACTGCAGCCCCTATGAGGCCATGTTTGGAGCAAAGTTAAAAGTTGGACTAAAGAATTTTATACCCAACGAATCGTTGTTCAACGTTAATACAGAAGAGGATCTACAGAGACTTTTTAAAACTATCAACGAAGTAAGTCAAAGTTGCTCAAACTCTGAAAGTCCGGGTACCGTCCAAGAAAACATTATGAAATATTATCTGATAATGCCACCCTTACATAGCAATATAACTGATGAAGTTCAAAGATCTACATCGTCTTCACGTGAAAAAAATCTAAACCAGGATGTTATTAGTATTACAGAATTGGTGAATGAAGAAGAAACAATCCAAACAATTGATCCAAAAATAGAAGAAAAAATAAGAAGTGTGTCTAAAACAAGGGCTTTGTTTAATCTTAAAAAGCAAGCAGAAAAAATGATTAATACATCAAATTCCAAATACACAGCAGCTATTGTTGATGATACAGTAAGGATTCGTGTACCTGATGTAGATCGAGCCCGCAGTGATGGAAAAAATATTTTAGGTGTCGTTGTTGCGGTTAAAGATAAAAACCTTTACAAACTGGGTACCAAACATGGCATATTAAATCTATTATATTCCAGAAACCAATTTACTGTTTGTAAAGAAAACTTTATTTCTGTTGGAGATGTACCGGGTGCAGAAATTTCGCTTAGAGAATGTGCAAGAATGTCATCAATTCCTGATGGCCACAACTATAGTTAATGCTGCTGAAAAATTGGTTGAAAATCTAATAGATGCAAATGCTACCAAAGAAAAAAAAATTATGTAATTCCAAATGTCATGAAAATGTTAACTGCTCAAATAAATAAACTAAAAAGCATTTAATTTTTTATATAATTTATACCAAAAATTGTTAATAATACTTTTCGTTAATATTAGTTTAATTAATATAGTTTATAGTACTTTGATATAATTTACAAAAAATAAATATTTAATTATCACTTTGCCCGACTAGGTGATAGCAGTATTCATAATGACCGGTCAATTTGATAAATTAATCAATATTTATCACACTGCCCGCCCTATTTGGTCATTATTCATAATGCTCGGTCATTATGAATAATGCCCGATTAATCACTTTGTCCATAACATATATATTATAATGTAATAATTTATCAAAAGTACATAATTCAGTTATAAAAGTTTGGAAACCAAGATGAGTTTTAAAAAAGATAAAAATTGATAATATACCTTTGATGATAGCCACCAAAAAACCTTACATCATACATGTCATTAGTTTTCCGAATAACTTTAGCTGGCCAGTATGGAAATCCTTTTTGTTTTGCATATACTAATTCATGAGGTGGATCCTAAAATCAAAATGAAATAATGAATAATAGAAAATTTAGTAGCTATTTTAAATAATTTAAATTTCAGAATTACAAGCTAAAAAAGAATTCAAAATAAACACTTAAAATAAATTTCAATATTAAAATTTTTTACAAATTTGATTCACTGGAACATTTATCATACTTTCATCATATTCATTGATGGACTATAGATTAGTTACAACATTAAGTGACATAAGTTATCTTAAAATCTAATTTAATTTGTAACAATATCTGGAAAAATGTATACAAAATGATCTACTGGATTATCAGGCTATATTAAGGATAACTGGGCTGCAATTTTCAAACTGCAGACCTATACATTCCTACTACTGTCCATCTATATGTCCTTTGATAATCTTAAGAATGGCAGACCTGGGAGTACCATTTCCCCTCTGAAAAAGTAACAAAAGTTAGTTGAAATACAAGAAAAAGTGAATAAAAAGTGAGCGCAATAGTGACAAAACAAAGTGAAAACACGGAAGGAAAACTAAGCAAAATAGAAGTAAAAGTTGTTATTTTCTTTTTATTCCGTTATGGTTAAACACGTTTTAAAAATTTCTGTATATACTGTAATACAGTAGCCACTTGTTATATTGCGCATTTTTGGTACCCCAAATTTTAAAAACATTTGAGTCAATAAATTTTAAATTACCAACTGCGACTGAATTTCTATTTGCAATGAAATACAGTATTTTATTTCTACTATTGTCCTTTAAACTACCACTGAAGGTGAAACAATAAATTTATCAAGATATAAATATGCAGAACAGGTGGAATGGATCGATTATCATTTGTTTCCTTTTAATATAAAAGTTGTTTATTTATTAGTTTTAAGTACTGTCTCCTCATTTACAAGTTGCTAAATGGGCATTCATGGTATCGATGTTTACATAAATGTCAATTAATACTATATAATCACAAATAAAATTCAGGATTGAAAAACTAAGCTTATTTTATATCAGAAACACTTAATGATGAAAGAATAGAGATTCCATAACATGTATAATCTGTCTAGTAAAAGCCAAGAATTTTTATTACTCGGTTATATCGCGTTTTTTTTCTGTCTCCTGATAACAAGTGGCTACTGTATTTCCAGTAAACCAAAAATACTTAAAAACTCTTTGGCTTCTGTAAATAATCAGTCATGAAAGATGATGTTCGTTTATTAAGATTATTCTGGATGTTTTCAGATTCCTTCTTTTTCGCTTCCTCTTGCTTTTGAACACTTAATACTAATAAGCATCACACGTGCTGTTGTACTTCATTCATGTTCTTGCTGTTAATAGCCTTCTCCAGTTTTTTGTTTGCTGCTTCTAACAAAACTTGGCCTATCGCATGTATTTCTTTTTCTTCTACATTTTTCTGGTTTAAACTCAGCTGCAGTTCTATAATCTTCATGTTATGAACAACTTTCTTTTGTTGTTCTTCAAAATGTTCCTGTGCTCTTTTTTTCTGTTTCTCTTATTCTTTTAACTTCTTTTCATTTTCCAATTGTTCTTGATAATTTCTATGCACTGAGGAGCTAATTTCAGTAGTACTTTGTAATGGGTACAAGGTGGAGCTTTGGTCATACATGCTTAGTCCCTCCTTAACAATCAAAAGTGAATTAAGTATTTTTTCCAACACTGATGGAGAAAGTACCTGGTGTGAAATTGACCCTCTCTCTCATGGGAATTTGGCTATACTGGGATATTTATCATTATCAGAAACTGTTTATTTTTTAATGCTCTGAGTTGTATAAATATTGATTTCAAATTNCGTGGAAGAGGTGGAGAAGGCACGGCAGATGCGCAGAAGGGCTTTGCGCTGTGCATTACAGAGCTTCCGTTTAATGTGCACTCGGCCTAAGCAGCCAACCCAAACAGGGACGGCATAGCAAATCATTGGCAAGAAAACACTGTCATAGATAATGAAAAGAATAGCTGGGAAAAGCCTCATTTAGATGTCACCACCCTGGAGACGGAGTTGAAAAGATGGTTGGTTTTATCAGTAGCATATTTGATGTTGTCTGTCCAGTTAAGTTTGTGGTCAATGATGACTCCAAGATACTTGATAGTGGTCATAATCTTGATTGAGATCCCTCCCATTTTTATGGTAGGAGGCCTACGGTACAGATGGGGTTTGCCTGGATTAGTAAAGATAATACCTTTAGTTTTATTTGCATTAAAATTAAGCTTATTCTTATGGCTCCACTCCGTGATGTTAAGAATAATATGCATAGTCTTGCACTTCAACTTGGAGCGAGAAGAGGCTGCAACAAGGATCATCGCATCATCTGCATACACAAAGTAATGCATGTAAATAAAGATAGCATCCAACCACTTCATGTGCTCAAGGTGAAAAGAAGAGATGATGAGCCTCGCTTGGTTGAAGGTTGCCTTAATGTCAGAATCGGCCGCATAAACCACAAGAGCCGTAGAGTTCCTCCCATGTAGAATGTATGCATTGTGTTCACTTATTCTGATTACCAATGATTGTTTGGTTGAACCAATGTAAACAAGGTTCCTGTCACAATTGTGGTCCTTAAGAGGTATAGAGTAAATGCCTGGGAGTCTGTTGGGATCAGGGGAATCCTTCCCATTACAGAGGATGTCCAAGATGGTAAGACATCTTCTGTATGTGATGTTAATGCGGCATTTGTTGGTGAGCTCCTTATATAAAGAAGCAATGTATGGATTATAGGTGATGGGTATCCGTGTCTCATCCTCTGGAGGATTGTCATCACGTGAGCAGATGGCAGACACACGTGCAGAGCAGTGGTAACGATTAATTAATTCATTGATTAGCTTATGGTGCCCGTGGATGGTCACTAAGTGTTTAATAGGAGCTAATTCGATGGCTAGTGTGGCTGGAGTGGATGAATGAGAAAATGCCCCCCTGAGCTGCATTCAACACATTAATGTTATTTGAAATTATTCATTAAAAAATTATTCAAAAATGATTCCTATCGCTAACAAGGGGAGGGCCAGACATTCGTGTCTCTGATTCAAACAAAACTAGGTGAGCATGTAACCTTAAATACAAGCAACTCCTTGTCCAAATAATAGAACCCACTTTACAAGAGTTTCCAAAAACTGAACCTCTAAAACTTTAGTATTTAGCCTATAAGACTTTGGAAGTTTCATGTTCCAGAGTGGCAATAGCTGAATAAATAAGACACTAGGTACTGTACTGGAGCTAGACAATGTAGGTTAGTACCTATTTAGTTTTAGTTTAGTTATCAACAACAACAACAACACCAGGATGTGTTACAAAAATCGTACTCCTAGAACCTATTTCTGGTGTGACGAAAAAACAAAAGAAAAAGTTCACCACAACTGTTTTTGAACTTCTGCAAGTTCTTCCTCAGGTGAAAAGGAATTTCTGATGGGACGGAGTGATCAATTAAAAGTATATGTGAAAAAATACACGAAAATGTAATACGAGTCGCACATGCGTGCCTGTAGGGTAACCAGATCTTAGCAATTACAGTTCAGAGTCCATCAATGTCTGCCAATGATGGACTCTGAACTGTATTTTTTCATACATACTCTTAATTGATCGCTCCGTCCCTTTTCACCTGAGGAAGAACTCGGAGATGTTCAAAAACATTTGTGGTGAACTTTTTCTTTTGTTTTTTTCGTTACACCAGAAATAGGTTCTAGAAGTGTGATTTTTAGTTTAGTTTTTATGTGTAACTTTATTATGTGCTGAAGGTTTTAACCTACATAGTCTCTTCCTCTAGTGCCTAGTATCTTACTCACTTGACTATCGCCACTCTGAGACGTGAAACTTCCAAAGACTTACAAGCTAAACACTAAGTTCTTAAAGGCTGAATTTTTGGAAACTCTTGTGAAGTCAGTTCTATTATTTGAACGAGAAGCTATTTGTGTTTAAGGCTACATGTTCATCAAGTTTCATTTGAATTGAAAACCCAAAAGTCTGGACATCACCTTTTAAGTGACAGCTTAACATGTTACTTTTGTATGAAACTATGAGCACTATCTAAAAGAAATTAAGCAACAATAAAATTATCATCAACATTTTGTAAAAAACAATGTGGTTTATAAATTTTCCTGTAGTTGTAACCACATTCACATTGGTGAAACCAAAAGAAAGTTCAATGCAAAATAATATAACCTTGAAAACTCCACTGTCACTAAACACTGTGTATTCCATAATTTCAATATTAATAAAGATTCATTAAAAATATTAAAAACCAAAAAGAAATACTACCAAACACAAATTATAAAAACATTTAGAAATTATCAAAATCCATGATGATATGAGAATAAACATGGGTACAACTAGATCCCATCAGCACCCTTACTTAAACATCTGATACCCATTAACCAGCAGGTAATACTTATAAAACCAACACTGGATACTACCTATAACAGCATCACTTCTGGAGTAGAGAACATTGTTTATACAAGCTGACTGTTTGCTAAAACATATGTAACCTTTCTTAAAACAACTCTTATTTTTTAACTGTTATCTTTCTTATTTTTTAATTGTTATCTTGTTTATAGCTTTGTATTATGTTCATTTACCATAGTATTTACTTCACAGTAAGTTTCATCAGCAACAATTATAATCTCTGGTTACTATTTGTACTGTAAACACATTATTTTTGGGATTTTTCACAGATGATGTAAAGTCATCTATGCATCAGCAACAAAATAATATGCTCCTTTTATATATGTATAAAAATGTAATTTAGTAATACTTTAATCCAAAACCCAAATGTTTGTAACAAAAAACCACTTGTATTTTTGTAGATGCCTGTATATCCACCAAATTGTAACAAATATGGCTGAAGAGAGACAGACAACTTGTCCAGAATGCATACCGTTGTCATAATAACTCTGTGTCTACTGATTCCTGTGTGATTACTCCAACTATGGCAAGACAGAATGATTACCCTCCAAGTTTATTAAGACACTGTCATGGCAATATCTACTTCCTAGGGACAGGCACCCCACCACAGGAGGGACAAT